AACCACATCTGGTGAAATCTTTTAACAATTAAAATCTCTAAAAGCTGCTCTAAGATCATATAGCAAATGAAGAAATGTTAATTTTTTGCAATATACCAAATTTTAGTACCAAGAGTGGGTGGTACTTAACCCATGACTTCCTCCCTCCCCCATTCACCTTCAGCTCAGCTTAAGGGAAACGTCACTCTGGGCAGGCGTGGTAAAGAAGATGGGGCTCCTTTTCCCCTCAGTTAACCATCAAGTACATGCTACCTTACCAACAGGGGCAGGCTGGCAGCATATCTCATGATGCCCTTTAACTCTGGGTTACAGGACTAAACTGGCGAGCATAGCCAGCAGCACCTTCCTGCTCTTCTAAACATAGCACAGAGGCTCTATCCCAGGCACAACAGGCTAAGAATACTGAAGCCCAGCAGCTCACTCTCCAGCTCCCTCATTTGATGGAGGGTCCATGCTGGGAGAGGCAGGTTGTGAAGACCGGAGACTACAATCCCAGCTTACTGCCCAGAGCGATGGTTCAGCACTTTTGAACAGGAGGAAAAGAAGTCCATAATTACACAGAACTCCAAAGCTCTCTTCAAAAGAAATGATTTTATTTGAAAACGAGTGTAGGAAGTTCAAAGGGCACTCTTGAAAACAGTGAAAATTTATTGGTAAGTAGTTTACAGGAATCTGGTAATCCCGTAAGAGTTTCAAGAGGAACCATAGGTCAGCAATGTACTAGAGAGAATCAGAAAAAGAGACATGTACAAAGGGTCATTCTAGGATCAGAGAAAACCTGAAAGATTGGCCCCAAAAACCAGCCTGCAAAGGAAAACAATTTTATTTATATCAGACTGTGGAGCAATTTATGCCCAGAAACATTGTAAATAACAGGAGAGCAATCAGCTGGCAATTGGTAGACCTAATAGCTGGGTATAATACAAATGGAGACACAGAGCTTAACAGAGAGATTCAGGAAAGAGGCAAACAAGGAGAGCAGTGCTAAGACTATTGTCATCCCACGTGACATCCCAAGGCTGCACCTTCTGAGGAGCATCATCAGAGCTTTCACACTGAAGGGGACATAGACTTCCCCTGAAGAGTCCAGACATGTCACTAAACAAACAGGCAAACAACAGCAACTTGAGCCTAGAAATGCAGAAGGTAAATCACTGTGCAGAGCACTGCACTACGTTACTTAAAACACCCAGTTTTTAACAAACTGCAAGACATACGAAGAAACAGGAAATTGTGACCTATGTAGTTAAAAGAACTCAGGCAGCAGTAACTCTCTGTGACAAGGCCAACATATTGGATTTGAAAACAGTGCCTCAAAGCAGCAGTTTGAAGTATATTTAAAGAACTGAGGGAAATAATTCTTAGAAAATAAAAGAAGCTATGATGAAAATATCTCATCAAATAAATATTGTCAATAAAGATAGTGATTATTTTTTAAGAACAAAATATAAATTCTGGAGTTGAAATTATAGCTGAAATGTAATTTTTACTAGAGAGGCTCAAAGGTAGGTTTGAACGAGCAAAAGAATGAAACAATGACTGGTGTAAAAATAACAGAAGTCAAGTGGAAATAGACACTTCAATAATAATAGTTGCATATTTCAACATCCCAAAATGTTGGATAATGCATAGAAGGACTAATCAGAAGGTCAACAAAGATGAGATGTGGTGACCAAATAGATCTAACACTATTCACTCCACCCAAAAACACCAGAATACATATTCTCCACAATGCACAAAGAACATTCTCCTAAAAAGACCATGTGTGAGGCCATAAAATAAACCTCAATAAATTTAAGAGGCTTGGAACCATACAGAGTATGATTTCCAGCTACAATGAAGGAAAATTAACAATCAGTAACAGAAAAAAAAATTGAGGAAAAGAACTATGTGTGACTTAGCCTTCACTGAGATCCTTAACCCTGCACCCTATACCTATAGCCCATATAAACACAATTTCCTCTGGAGGGAGGGAGGGAGGGAGGGAGAGAAGAAGAGAAGAGATAGAGAGAGAGAGATAAAAGAGACACATCGATTGGTTGCATCCCACACCCATTCTGACCGTGGTCCATGGATTGGACCTGCAACCCAGTTACATGTCAATGACTGTAAATTGAACCCGTAACCCTCCAGTTCTCAGGCCTATGGTAAAATAGCTGAACACCCCATCTAGGGAAAAACCAATATTAAACAACACAATTCTAAATTACCAATGAATGAAAGATGATATAAAAAAGGGAAATTATAAATACTTTGAGATGAATAGAAATGAAAAAAAACAACATAGCAAAACTAATGGGGTGTAGCCAAAGCAATACTTAGAGGAAATTTTATATCTGGAAATATACACGTAGCTATTGATATTAAACCAAGAAGAAAGATCTCAAACCAATATTTTAATATTCCCCATTAAGGCAGTGATTAAGGCAGCAAACAAAACCTAAAGCACTAACAAGAAAAATACAGTAAGTGGAAATTAATGAACTAGAAAATAGAAAAACAATACAGAAAACCAACAAAACCAAAACTTGTTTCTTTGAAAATATCAAAAAATTGACAAATATTTAGCTAGTTTGACCAAAAGCATATAGAGAATTAGTAAAATCAGTAATGAAAAAGGGACATTATTACTAAGCTTATGGAAATAAAACAATTATAAGTATCCTATCTAATAAAAGAGAAACATGGTAATTGGCGTATGACTGCTACCCTTCCCATTGGCTAATCAGGGAGATATGCAAATTAACTGCCAGCCAAGATGGCAGCCGGCAACCAGGCAGCTTGAAACTAACGTGAGGCTTGCTTGCTTCAGTGACAGAGGACTCCAACGTTCCCCGCCTGCCTTGCAGAC